CCATCTGGGCAGGCGATCAGGATTCAGGTGCAGGAGGTGAGATGGGCAGGAGGAATGTGAAGTCAAGGTGTCTCTGTCTCGGGCTTCCCCACCAGGATGCTGTGTTTAGTTGTCTGTCTCCTTCAGTAGCCGTTTCCCTTCAGCTGCCCAATCTGGGGCCCTGTGACTACTAGGTCCTTGTTTCTTCAGACCCAACGATGACAGTGGCTCCTTCTCTGCTATTCCTCCCCTGGACTGCAAAAGCCCTGCCCTCGCCTCTGTAAATAGTCTATTAAACTCTTCTCAATGGTTCACGTTGGGTTTGCCATCTGTTTTCTGCTGAGACGCTCCCCTGTTCCCTATGTGTTGCTTAGATTTATATATTCCATTGACAGAGAGTTCTGATCGAGCAATATCTCTCCCACACCAACAGGTTAAAAAAAGAATTACCCAAACAAATATTTTTCTAATTCTTGTGGACATAATTACTACTGTTTCCACAGACCCCTCAGCATGAGCTATCTTCAAATACTTATCTTCAATCTCATAACGTCTACCGATAGTGGAAATACAATGTTAACAGAAGTGAAAACAAGGGAAAAAATGCATTCATGATTCTATCATCCCACCTGCTAAACTGCTTTTATTTCCTTATTTTCTACTTATAGAAAAGATATACTTTCTTATATTCTTATATTCTTTTATTCACATAAGGCTATATCATGAATTTCTCTCAGATTATGACAATGCTAAATGTCTTTTAAAATTATTTATCAATTGAAAGCATGTGGTGTGCCTTCTTTGACATTTCTCCTCACCAGCACGAAGGTTGCAAATTATTTTTACTTAGGGATTGCTATGAGATTTTATTATAGAACCAAATATGTTACTTTGGAAACAGGTTCAAAGAATTCATTATTGGATTCAGATCTCATAATTGGAAACAAATTCACACATATCAAATTCCTTAATTAGCACATGCCAAACTTTCTCTTATTTTCATTGTTGGAAGTAACTTCAGTGATATTAAGTTTTCATGCCCCCGTAAGCTCATCTCCTTACAACCTTTCTACCTGATCTCACATGCCTTTATACTTTGTTGAAAAATTATGCTATAGAACCGTTAGGATAGAGTGGGGAAAATTATTTCTCGAGAAATTAGCCAAAGAAGTTCACATTTGAGCTAGGAGGAAACAAAAGAAAGAAAACCTTTTTTCTGGAGAGAAATAAGTTTAGCCATATTTAATCTAGAGTGGATAGGTAACAATCTGGCCAGATTAATACCTTTCGCTGGGTTGAATCACAAACTATTTGTCAGTGTTCTTATTGAAGATTCCGACTCTTGTGTTTAGACTTCTAAATTGGGAATAGGCTGTATGAGACAGAGTCCCCAAACTGATATCCATTCATTTTTCTGGTTAGTAAACATGCCCCTAAATTCAGCTAATGCTGAAAAATTCTGAAATCACCCCTAAGTTGTCCAATATGAAGTTTGGATCATTTTTTGTCCCTAAATATGTAATAAAAACTTATTTGCAGTAACAAATCCTTACCTACCAATTTGCTACAAGCCTTAACACAATCATCATAGAGTGATTATCTTTCTGTAGATCTTGTATTGTCTAGACCCCTGCTACTCAAACAGTGGTCTGCTGTCACCTGGCAACTCATTAGAAACGCAGGGTATCGGGTCCTTCATCAACATACAGAATCAAAACCTGTAGTTTAGCAAGATTCCCAGGTGTGCATTAAAGTTTAAGAAGCACTGGGTGTACTCACATTAGTCTAATAAATGAATAAATATGTTTCTTACTTAGTTTCAGACAGTGGAATCGTGGATGCATACAGGGATGTTAGAAATGATCTAGCTCTACATTTCCCCCCTGTGTATTTATTTCCTGGAACACTCATTTCATAAAGTGTCAATAGAGGTTATGCTGAAAAAAGTTAGGAAATGCTGCTGGTTAAATAATGCAAATAATTTTCTTTACCACAGGATTTCTCGACGTCTTTAATAAACTTATGTGCCTTGTGACTCTCTAGGGAGGGAGGGTGAATAAGATTTATGCAGTGAGTTGTATCGTCTACATATTTGAGTACGGAACATTATTTTCACCAGATACAGCGCTAGTGTGTGCCCTGATAATTTTGAAAACATTTATCTAATTCAATCCCCTAGAGTAACAGACTCATATTCTTTTTTTTCGTCATCTTATTTGGCAAAGGTAAGGTAAGTGACTCTAATTTCTTATTGATTTTTCAATGGGAATGTGACTTCTATTCTATCAGTTATAGCTCTAAGAAAGAGACCTGAAACTAATGGCTCGCTCACATAAGAGTACAGGGTTTTTGTGGCATGAGAGAGAGAGTGGGTATCAAAAACTGTGAATATCTGAGCTCTTACCCCACTCACAAGCTTGTGGGTTAGCTGGTCTACCCCAGTTTCATGAAAGCTGGCAGAAGACACAACTTGTGGGTTGGACAAATGACTTGATCACTCATGCCACATAAAGTGGCCTGAGCTTCACATTTATGTCATTTCTCCATGTCCTTCAAGTCTCACCGGAGGCCGTGGAGTGTCCAGGGTGAACGCTGCATATAAAACAAGTTTGAGTCAAAGCTAAGGGTCCTTGAGCTTAGGGAGCCTGGCTTTTTTATAATGAGCTACAAGCAAAACTGCCCTTTCCCCCATGGGAAGATGTGACCTTTATCATACCGGACAACAAAGAAAAACCTGCCCTTTGCTTCAGGGAGATGCTCTCTCTATATTCCAAGGCTGTATTCACCATACCGACGTCCTTGGAAAGATAGTCTGAAACAAAGAGACCCAGTGCCTCTGCTCACAGGACTTTCAGAAACATGAGCGACCCAAGAATTGCCACCCAACATTCCTGGGGAAAGGGAGGGGGTAAGGGTTGTACGGCACAAAGGTATTCAGAAATCCAGACTGATGGTGACTTGGCTATGTTCAGTATGTGGCCTCTAAAGTTCCTCTAGCGAATGAGGATGCCACCATCCCAGACAGCTGGAAGGAGAGGGGTTTGGAGGAGCATGCATGGGAGGGGGGTATGAGGTAAGGTCCATAGTGGCGTACACTCCTTCTTAATGTTCCATCACTAGGACTTGGACACATGGCCGTGCCTCATTGCGGCAGAGGACGAGATATGTAGCTTAATTCTGAGATATGTAGCCTAACTTTGAGATACGTAGCCTCACTCCAGGAGCAAGGGAGAGCGGGTTTTGGAGGCTACCCAGAAGTCTCTTCTACATATTCAATTTTGATAGTGATTTAGCTACAAGCTTCTCTATTTTTATCTCAAGTAAAGATGAGCAAACATTCCTGGGGCTGGGACTTTGCATTTCCAGCATCACTGAATCTTAAAATTGGAAGGTCCTTTAGAATCATTTCTTCTAGCCACGCCTCCCCCCTTCACTTTAGGAGTGAAGCAACTGAAACTCAGAAGTTAAATGTCTTAGCTATGTGACTTACTAAATATAGCTCGTTAGCTGAGCTAAGATTTTCAGATCTCTATTCTACAGCCCTTTCATTTGTACCAACCTGGCAAGCTCATAGCACCTTTTGGGGGGTTTTTTAAATTATAATTCCCCAATTACTTGGTTTATATATTTAGAATTTTGTTTATTGAGATCTCTAAAACCACTGAATGTATGGGGCACCTGGGTGGTTCAGTTGGTTGAGCATCAGACTCTTGATTCAGCTCAGGTCACATGGTTTTCATGAGTTTGAGCACCAACTCAAGCTCCGCCCTGACAATGCGGAGCCTGCTTAGAATTCTCTCTCTCTCTCTCTCTCTCTCTCTCCCTCTCAGAATAAATAAATACACTTAAAATAAGATCACTGAATGTCTACCTGAACTGTTCCTTCATTTATTCATTCAATAACTGTTTATTGGGCCCTATTCTAGATAGACATTGTTCTAAATACTGAGAATCCTGTTGTGATGAGCCAGGGGGCAGGGGTGGGTGGTGTCTCATTCTCACAGAACTATTATTGGAGTGATACTCCATGGCTTAAAATATGGCTGACTTTTCAGTATGAGATGCATTATGACTAATTTATGATATAAGCTGTTATGTATGGATTCCAAACAATGTATACTTCTTATGAGGAGCCTGAAATTAAGTCCTCCATTAGAAACAACCTCAGGCTGCATGTAGTCCAGGTTCTAGGAAAAGCCTCAGGTGAAGCCACCCTCGGACCGCCCTCGGATCTGCCAATCAAAAGAAATGTGTAACATTCCTGTAGTCTTGGAGACAAGTCAGGACTGGGAACTGCAGGTAGTTACTTTGTACAAACTTGCCAATCAATCACAGCTTGCAGAAGCCCCACATAGATTCTCTGAACCCACCTCATAATTGGTCATTTTATTTTTTTTATTTTTATTTACTTATTTATTTATTTTTATTTTTTATTTTTTACAAATAGTTTATTGTCAAATTGGTTTCCATATAACACCCAGTGCTCATCCCCACAAGTGCCCTCCTCTATGCCCATCTCCCCCCTCCCCCCCACATCCATCAGTCCTCAGTTTGTTTCTCAGCATTCAAGAGTCTCTCATGGTTTGCCTCTCTCCCTTTCCCCCACCATTTCCCACCTTCTTCTCCCCCATGGTCCTCCGTTAAGTTCCTCCTAATCCTCCTATACATGCAAACATATGATATTTGCCCTTCTCTGCCTGACTTATTTCACTAAGCATAACACCCTCAAGGTCCATCCATGTTGCTACACATGGCCAGATTTCATTGTTTCTCATTGCCATGTAGTATTCCATGGTATAGATAAACCACATCTTCTGGATCCATTCATCCGTTGATGATAATTGGTCCTTTTAAAAGACTCTCAAAGGTCATGATTGGTCCCGCCAAATGTAACGGACACCTCACAGAAACTGAAAACTGTTACTATGCTGTTACTATGGGCATTATACAATTATGATTGGTGCTTATGTAATGATGCAAAACGTACAACATGTGCACAGTAACACCCCTGCCCTTCCCCCATAAAAACCCTGTTTGCCACTGTTCGGGGCCCCACCTTGCTGCTGCTGCACCGGGAGACAGGTGAGCCCCTGCTCGAGGTTGTAATAAACACCCTTTTGTTCTTGCATCAGTGCCGGCTCGTTGGAGGTCTCTGGGGACTCGCGATTCGGGTATAACACTTATTGCCAGCACAAATCAGAAAACAGAGACTTTACAGCTTTTAAGTTTCATTACAATTAATTTATAGCAAGATTTCCTTTTGTATTTTATGTAATAACTAATCTTTTTTGTAATGTTTATTTATTTTTGAGAGAGAGAGAGAGGCAGACTGTAAGTGGGGGAGGGGCAGAGAGAGAGGGAGACACAGAATCTGAAGCAAGCTCCAGGCTCCCAGCAGTCATCACAGAGCCAGACGTGGGGCTCGAACCCACAAACTGTGAGATCATGACCTGAGCCGAAGTCGATCGCTTAACCGACTGAGCCACACAGGTGCCCCCATAACAACTAATCTTTTAAAATAAGCCTAATGCATTACTCCTATAGCAAGTTATTATTACTTTGTTGTTGCCTTTGGGTTAACAGGTTTTAGTATGTTAAAGACAGAGGTTTATTTTAAGTCTCAAAACAGATTGGAACATTTCTAACAGAAATTTCAGTCACATGTTTTGATTTATCAAAGCATTTTATGTTTACTTAAAGAAATTTCTTTCTGTTCCCTAGAGAAGTCCATAATGTACTCAGTGCAAATTGAACATCAGAAATATAATGTAGTCAAATGACAGAATAAAATTCAAGAGAAACTGCTGAAGCTTTGCTCTTTAAAAGGAAAATCTATGTTTCTATGTTACATCATGTGTATGTATTATGGAAATATCTGAAAGATATACAGCACCCCATGCACACGACTATTGTTTATGAACAAGTGTATGTAATGCAGCTTATTGAGAAAGGGTTCAATTTAAAGTAATAATGCATGAAATAAGTATAATGTGGCATGTTGCAAAGAGGTCTAGATTGTGAGCCTCAAGAATCAAGATCTGATCCTGATGGTGCTTTAAAAAATCTAAGTGATATAAATATTTGTAAAAAATCTAAGTGATATAAATATTTGTATAGCATTTTCTGGTTGCAAAACCTTTTTTCTTTTCCATTTAACAATAGCTAACAGTTACTGAGCCCTTACCACGTGCCAGATGTGGTAATGTCATTGAAATCATGTAACACCCTCATGAGGTAAGTGTTTACTTCCCCTTCAACACCCTACTTTCCAACCTCATCCTCCTGGGGGATTATAAGGTCAGACTGACCTGACCAACTGATCCCAGACGGAGGCTCTACAGTGAGCCTCTGCTCCTTCCCCCACATGGCTCCCTCCTTCTGGGACTCGGATCCAGTACGTGGTACTGGTTAGTTGGTGAGGTGAGTGAGGCAACCAAGATAATAATCACATTATTTTTCAATTTCTGGATCTTACCAGGGTCAATAAGACAGGTCCACAGTTTCTCCAAAGTTCTCAAGCATTCACATTTAGATATTCATGCTTTTATATATTTTACAGACCTCACAAGATCCCTTTCTTACCTTGTTGCTTTCTTTTAAAAAATATTTTATTTATTTCAGAGAGAGAGAGAGAGAGAGAGAGGCAGCGTGAGCAGGGGAGGGTCAGAGAGAGAGGGAGACACAGAATCTGAAACAGGCTCCAGGCTCTGAACTGGCAGTCAGCACAGAGCCCGACGCGGGGCCTGAACCCAACCATGTTGCTCTTATGACTTCACCCAGGTGCTCAGTCCAGTAAGCATCAACCCTTGGTTTCGGCTCAGGTCGTGATCTTGCAGTTTGTGAGTTCAAGCCCCGTGTTGGGCTCCATGCTGACAGTGCGATCCTGCTTGTGATTCTCTCCCTCTCACTTTGCCTCTACCCTGCTCGTTCTCTCTCTTTCAAAGTAAATAAACTTAAAAAAATTGTATAAACATTGAAGTATTTACTTCCCATGGTATCTTTACTATTTTTTCTGTTTTCTTCCATCCTCATAATATTTTTAAATGCCAACCTGATTTTCTTCACTTATATCCATTTATTTCTCATCTACCACTGGACCACTTTTTATATTATAAATTTTTTCCCTTTCCCCCATCATATTATGCTGATTCTAAGATGTATACTTTTTTCACATTTTAATATTTTAAAATCAGCATGCATCTCACAGTGTAAGATTGTCATCTTACAATTAACTGCAGCACTTTTAAACTTTCTTTGTGGAACATAAAATAATGGCTCATTTTAAACAATCTAAAGTTTCTTAGATTTGATAAAGTAAAGCTAATACAATCGTAAGAAATGAAGATTCTGCAGTTTATAGAGGCCAGTCGACTTGCTCAAGATCATTCACTGTGACAAGTGAAACTGAGCAGGACCTATTCCTGAGCGAGCTGAGCTTGAGCCCTTACTTTGTGCTCTGTACTGTGGGGGGATCTGAGGTTCGGAGAGATGCGTGACTTGCCCAAGGGCACCATGCCGCCATGGGATAGAATCACGATTTAATCCAGAGCTCTTTCTTCCCATTGTAACACTCTAGTTGGTCCTCTGACCTTGAAGGTCACTTAAAGTCACTAATCTTCTGTTATAACATCTTAAATTCAGGAATTTGGCCCAGAAAAACCTCTAAGGTCCCTGCTACCTCTAATATTCTGCTTTGAAATAGAGCCAATTCTATTTCTTCAGTGTTTAAAAAATATACTCTAGTGCAGGTAATGTGAGTCTGTGGCACAAAATGTAGAAAGTAGCAAAAGGAAATATAAGGAACAGTTGTTTTTCCCTTTCATGCCCCAGGCACTCAGTTGTGCTCCCTATAGGTAAAAACCCTTACGACTCTCTCGTGCATATTTTAAGGACAGTCTGTGAAACAAAGCAAGTATATATACCATTGGCACATTATCAACGATGAGTTCACACTGATATCTCCAATCCTAACCCCGTAAGACATGGCTCATTCTAGTTTTCTCCTTCTCCAAATTTTACTTCCCATCTCCAACATTATCCTCAATCTATTTCCCTGTACAACTACCTTGTAAATGTATGATCCCTTGGGCCATCATCCCTCTAGTTTAGGGATGTCCATGTTATTTTGCTTAGCTCTGACACCCTGTGTTCCCTTGCCCCTTCCCCATGTGGATGCCCTCTTCATCTACGTAGGTTCTGACATCCCCCACTGGTAGTGTTGGCAGATAAAATACAGTACATTCAGTTAAATTTGAATTTCAGATAAACAAACAAAAAAAAATTGTGTAAGTATATCCCATACAATAGTTGGGATATACTTATACTAAAAGAAAAACATTCAGTATTTCACTGAAATTCAAGCCTAACTAGGCTTCTCATAATTTTATTTGCTAAATTTGGCCACCTCACATGCTGGGTCACCCAGCACAACCAGCCCCCAGTGTAGAACCTGCCTCACTTCACTGGAGTTGTAACACCTTTTGTTGATTGTCTCCTCCCCCCACTAACTAATAGCTTTTGGGCTGAACTGTTGGGAAAGAAAGGGAGGAGAAAGGAAAGGAAGGAAAAGGGGAAAAAGGGAAGCTGGAAAAGAAAAAGAGACAAGAGAAAAAAAGGGAAGACTATATTAAACTTTGAAAATTTACATTTATGAAAATAAGTTTTTCACTTGCCTAAACTATTCAAAGTCTAATGATTTAAAAACAAAACCCAGTGTCTCCCTCTCTCTGACCCTCCCCTTCTCACATTGTCTCTCTCTCTCTCAGAAATAAATAAAAAACGTTACAAAAAATTAAAAGGGGCACCTGGGTGGCTCAGTTGGTTGGGTGGGTGACTTCGGCTCAGGTCATGATCTCACGGTTCATGGGTTCGAGCCCCATGTCGGGCTCTGTGCTGACAGCTAGCTCAGAGCCTGGAGCCTGCTTCCGATTCTGTGTCTCCCTCTTTCTCTGACCCTCCCCTGCTCACGCTGTCTATCTCTCTCAGAAATAAATAAAAAACGTTAAAAATTTTAAAAAACAAAACCCATATCAACAAAAATGCTACCTACAGTCAAGAAATACAAAGCTGTGTTAATCCTACATCGACTAATACTAAGTTAATGAGGTCAACAAGAATTATACCAATGAGGTATATTTGAAAGTTCAAGAGGATTATCAAGGCCTACTTTGTACAAAATTAGGTGGGCAAAATTTATTGTTAGTGCTTTCAACCTCTTAGGAAAAAAAAAAGTCTTATGCAGAAAAAGAAATCTCAGAGCAATTAGCCTTTTTTTTTTTTTAAATCTATTTTGAGGGAGAGAGAGAGAGAGCACACAAGAGGGAGAGGAACAGAGGGAGAGAGAGAGACAGAGAGAGACAGAGAGAGAATCCCAAGCAGATTCCACACCATCAGCATGGAGCCCTGTGTAGGGCTTGAACTCACGAACTGTGAGATCATGACCAGAGCCTAAGTGAGATGCTCAACCAACTGAGCCACCCAGGTGCTCCATAGCCTTCTTTTGATTATTGCAGTAAAGGAACATGTGCCTTGTAAGTAATATAGAAAGAAAGAATTTATCAAATTCCTCAAGCAAAACTTGCTACTTTATAGGCTGAATATTATGTTTAAAAAAAGTAACAATATGGGGCCCTGGGTGGCTCAGTCATTAAGCGTCTGACTTTGGCTCAGGTCATGATCTCCTAGATCACCTGTTCGAGCCCAACATGGGGCTCTGTGCTGACAGCATGAAGCCTAGAGTCTGCCTTGGAGTCTGTCTCTCTCTCTGCCCCTCCCCCTCTTGTACACTGTCTCTCTAGCTCTCAAAAATAAATAAAACATTAAAAAATAAAACAGCAATAAAGGGGCATCTGGCTGGCTCAGTCAGTGGAAGCATGTGACTCTTTTTTTTTTTAAGTTTATTTATTTATTTTTTGAGAGAAAGTGTGAATGAACTGGGGAGGAGCAGAGAGAGAGAGAGGAGAGAGAATCCCAAGCAGGCTCCACACTGTCAGCATAGAGCCTGCTGTAGGGCATGACCTGAGCTAAAACGAAGGCAATCTGACTCTTGATCTCAGAGTTGTAGATTTGAACCCCATGTTGGGTGTAGAGGTTACTTAAAAAAAATGAAATCTTAAAAAAACCAAAACCCAGCAACAATGAAACACCAGGTTAAAATGTTTCCTTTGGCCAAAAACAGGCATCTTGGCTTTTCCCATATTACCCATAGATAAAATACTTAATTCCAAAGCGCAGGTATATTCAAAGGGAATGCTTACCCTGAGTGTTTGTTTTTGCTTGTTTTCTGGCTCATAGTGGACAACCAGCAAGTGAAGATGCTCAAGCAAATGACCTGAAGTCAGAAACAGGGTTTGATGCGACATCCATAGCATGGAGAAACATTGGGGAAAAAAAAAAAAAAAAAGCGAAGACGTGCAGAGAGCCCAGGGAGCAATTCCATATAAAACCCCTCGGTTGTGGCTGTGCTAAGGGTTAATAATGTAAGTTCTGGGGGAGGCTGGAACTTACTGGAAAAGGCATCAAAGGCAAGATGTATGTGGGCAGATCGCAGACTTCCAGGCATTATGCTGTGTGTGGAACAGATGGATGTTCATTTTGTACCTCTCTCAAAGAACATGTTCCGTGGGCCACTGCACAGGCAATCGCTCCGTATCACCGCTCGAGCCAGAGTGGGGAACCATAGCCTAAGGAGGTAAAACGGTTTTTGTAGAAAAAGAAGTGCTCAGACATACCACGTGTTCCTTTAAATGTCACCCTCACACTTGAGGGCTGTGGGCACTTAGGACCCTGATAGGAAGAAAATCACTTGGGAGTGCTACCTCTTTTGCTTACAGTCAGCTGTGGGGGAAAGGGGGCTGAGGTGAGAAAAAACAGGGCTTTTTATTTTTTTCAGAGAGAGATAGAGACAGTGTGAGCAGGGGAGGGTCAGAGAGAGAGGGAGACACAGAATCCGAAGCAGGCTCCAGGCTCTGAGCTAGCTGTCAGCACAGAGCCCGACGTGGGGCTCGAACCCACGAACCGTGAGATCATGACCTGAGCCGAAGTCCGATGCTTAACCGACTGAGCCACCCAGCGCCTCGAAAAACAGGGGCTTTTGAGCTGACCACAAGCTGGGCCCAAAGCTTTGTTTTCTACTGACTAGTTGACCTAGGGCAGGGGACAGGTTACAAAGTCCTCCAATAGCGGTTTCTTCTGTTGAACCAATACCATCTTAACACGTTTTTGAGAGGAACAAAGGAGATAACAAAGGACCAGCGATTCTCTAAGTGTGGTACCTGGACCAATGGCATCAGCCTTGCCTGGGGTCTTGGTAGACTTGCAGATTACTGGCCCCATCCCAGCCCTGTGGAATCAGAATTGCTGATTCTATGGCTTAATGAGCCCTCTAGGTGATTACAATGCTTTGAGAACCACTGACTAGGAAATACTCCCGGCCCAGTGCTCCTTTGCTAAAGTGGGAACTAGTTTTCCTTGTTAGAAGATATTCGTGCCACCTTGGGTTTTCTCTGTTATAAGGAAAGGAGGGCTGAGAGCAGAACGTGGGGAAAGGCTGGGCTGCCACAATCAGACACATACCTTGGGGACCCTGATACCCTCTGATGCTCTGTAAGTCTCCGGGACTCCCGTCAAATGTCACCCACTCTGGGTTCATACACCAACCAACCAACTCTGAAACCTCGAAGGAGAGGAGAAAGAAGCTTCCAGGGGACTTGTTCTCACCCTCCAGCAGACCCCATGTGGATTTGTGACACTGCCTCCGTCTCCAGTCTGTCCTCATCACTGCAGCTAGATCATCTTCCTAAATCAAAGATATCTGATCATGTCACTCCTCCCGGCAAACGTTCTGTAGCATCTATAAGATTTTGACTTTAAGGTAAGCCCAGACTCTTGAGTGTAACGTGTAAGGCCCTTCCCAGTCTGGCCCCAAAGGACCTCCTCAGCCCCATGCATCTCTCGCTTCCTGTCCACTCTCTCTCTCTCTGTCCCCGCCCCCCACCCCAAGTCCTCTTCATCATGTACAGGCACAGGTACACATGCCGGACTTGGCCAAGTGGGAAAGCCAGTGATAAGAAGAGGCTTCCTGAATGATTCTACCCTTGAGCTCACCATGAGAGGCAGAGAAAATATTCTAGGCTAAAAGAACAGACATGTGCAACAGCATGGGAAACCGGAATGTGGCATTATGGGGATTATTTCTAAAGTGTAATTTATGAGGGGAGGTATGAAGACAGGTGAGGCTGGAAAAGCAGGCTTGGGGTGTCTCTTTAATCACATGCTAACTCAGACGCCCAACAAAAGTCATGCATGCTCACACTCAAATTTCAACGCGTTGCAGACAGAGTGCTAGCTGGACTTAGATTACTTTGGTTTCGGCCGTGGGTAAGAAGTGTTATTATCTCCCTAAACAGCGAAAGAAGCTGAGACTCAGAGAAGATAAATCACCAACCCACGGAATTCTCACTCTATAAATACTGAGGGTACGCTCCCGAGCATCACAAGGCTCCCGACCACTGCACTGTTCTACATGCAGGGCTCTGCCCGGCCCTTTAAAAACCACAGGCTGACTTCCAATTTGGACAAACCTCTAGCTCCAAATCCAAACCTTGTCACGGAGGTCCTCAATGTAGAGGAATTACTCTTTCGACCGTAAGAGCTCTATTTCCTCGTAAATTAGAGTCTTAATTGTTTGTTATTATTTATTCCTTAACAAGGCTGTCCACAAATATTCTGGGATTTGCACTGTGCTTTATTTTGGGGAATCTCCTCGATACATTTTTGATGGAGAGCCTCCTGTGTCTGCACAGCTGGTATCAATATCCATAAAAGGCCATTTATGCAATTTGTCAGTCCTGTTAAGTGTCAATTTTCTGGAGTGCAAGTCTTTAGTGGGCTCCACTTATATTTGAAAACTTTTTATGAATGCACTTACTTCTAAATTCTTTTTTGAAAATATGTGGGAAAAACAACCTTGGGAGTAGTATTTCATTCTTGCAGAGATGGGCCGGCCATCACTCTCCATCTCTCAGGAGATGGTTGACATGCAAGGAAGGTCGGTGAGACCTTAAAATGTAGGAAAAAAACCAGAGGACTCAGTGTGTCAAACTGCCAACTGGGCTTAGTCAAAATCACCATAACAAAGATAATATTAATAGATACAATATTTTTTAAAATTTTATTTTATTTTTTAAATAGAAACATTTTATTTATTTGTTAATGTTTATTATTATTGAGACAGAGAGAAACACAGCACGAGTGGGGGAGGGGCAGAGAGAGAGGGAGACACAGAATCTGAAACAGGCTCCAGGTTCTGAGTTGTCAGCACAGAGCCCGACGCAAGGCTCAAACCCACAAACCGTGAGATCGTGACCCAAGCAAGATCAAGATTCGAACACTTAACTGACTGGATTATCCAGGCATCTCTAGATATTTATTTTACAGATAAAATGGAACATGTGAAAAATTCTAAGAAATATTCACTGCAGCATCGGGTGTTATAGTCTAAGATTGAAACAATCTAAGTGTCTGTCAATAGAAAAGTAGGAACGTCCATGCCCTGAGTTGCCATCTCTCTTGTATCAGTACCTGAAAACAGTAGAAATGTGTTTTTATTTTGAAACAAAGTCAAAGTTATGGAAAGCTTCCATAGATAATACAAAAATCTTTTGTTTCCTGAGTCTTTTCTGCGTAAGTTGCTGACATCATCCTCCATCACTTCCAAATATTTCAGCATACTACAAATATAAACATCAAACTCAGGACTTAACATCAGTGTGTCCCCAACATCTACTCTTCAGGCTTCTTTCCGTTTTTGTTAATTGTCCTAAGAAGGTCCTTTGTTGCAAAAGGATCCGGTCCACAATCACAGGTTGACACTTTAGTCACTTTTCTCATTTTAGAACTGTTCCTCTCTGTCTCTTCTCAATTTTTTGGCCTTGACAGCTTGGATGATTGCAGCCCAGTCATTGTGTAGAATATCCTGATTTGGGCTTGCCTGATGCTTCCCCATGATTAGGTATAAGTTATACATGTTTGGCATGTGATTCATTCCTATGAGGTGTCACAGGGTTTCAATTTATCTCATTACTGGTGATGTTGACTTTGATCCCTTGGTTAAGGTGATGAATGTCAGATTTCTCTGCTGTAAAGTTATTTTTTCCTTTGTAATTAGTAAACATTAAGAAGCATAGAGCTAGGATTTGTAATGCATATTTACATCTCTATTTATTGTGTAGTTTGGGATAGCCTTAACAGAGCACAGGTCTTTTATTCTAACATAACCTCTATCTACCCAGGCATGGAGGCCCTGTCTCCTCTCCTCTCTTTCTGTGTGGTATCTCAGAAGTTAGTTCCCTCTCCCTTCCTTCTTTCATTTTCTTATTCTCATGTGAATTTTCCTTTATTATTATTTTTTAAAATCCATGTCCCTGAAAGAATGTATTATAGCAAAGGCACACAATGAAACAATGGGGGGGGGGGGATGTGAGAAGCCGGGATGTACTCTGAAAAGCTAACTGAACCCTCACACTTCTCAGAATATACGATTTCCTAATATTGCACATGGTGGTCACTCTTTCTCATGTTCCTAGCGTGTCAGTTGGCTGTTACCCATGTACCAATCACTCCTGATGCCCTTCTTTCTTGCTAAAAAACCTTTTTTTTGGTTCAGGTACAGCATTAAAAATCCCTGGATCTCCGGGAGGATGGAAGCCTACCTCATCCCCTAGAGCTGATTGGTTTATTTGGGCCAAGTAACCATATTCCCCCTGGCCTGTGATTCGTTCGGGAATGGGCATGTGACTTGGTTCTGGCCAATGGGGTGTAGCGGGGGGACAGCCGCGGAGGATTTTCCTTTCTGAATAATAAATAATACAAGGCTATTTGAGAGGCAAGCTTTAGATACAATCGAAATGCGCAATGGCCTTCTACAACGGCAAGGCGTCAGCGCGAGGATAAAAGCCAGCTTTCAAGATTGGAACCATGAAAAAACAAGATCCAGGTCCCGGATTCATTGTTGAACTGCTGACTCAATGCCAGCAACCATCTACCTTGGGGGTTCTTGTTAAAGAGAAGAATAAAATGCCTATGTGTTTGAGTCTCTGTAAATCAGGTTTCTGTTATCTGCAAACTGTAGCCTTTCTAACTGAAACACTGATTAAAGAGCTCTGTTCTATAGTCCCAATCCCTTCTTTAAAAAAAAAAAAAAAAAAAGATAACTGCTACTATTATATCCTTCAGTGTAAGATAGGAACTGGAGAATTTAGGGGACTAGGTAAGGGAATCTCTTTAAAAAAGCAATAAAGTCAATGCAAGTACAGAGTCAGTGTCTATCTGTTACACTTTTGTGTTTAAAAGAGGTTAAATAATGTATTCATATATTTTGTGTACTTATGTAAAGAGGCACCTAAAGGATGCACACGCACAGGACCACATAACCAACGGGAAAGGCAGGGAGGGGTAGGGTAGATTGGGAATGATGTGGGAATTAGGATAAAAAGAAACAAGAAATAGAAGAACAACCAAGTTATGGGAAATTTGAAAATTGTGTTTCCAAAAAATACTTAAAAATATTATTTATTTTGAGAGAGAGAGAGTGCTAATGGGGGAGAGGTAGAGAGAGAGAGAGAGAAAGAGAATCCCAGGCAGGCTCTGTGCTGGCAGCTCAGAGCCCGACTCTTGGGGCTCGATTCCACAAACTGTGAGATCACGACCTGAGCCAAAATCAAGAGTCTGATGCTTCACAGACTGAACTACCCAGGCGCCCCCCAATCTAAAACTATACAAGTCTATGATGTATCATTCAATTATATCATCATATACAGAGTTACAGTATTAAACTTAATAATTTAAAGTATTCTAGTTAAATTATTCCAACTGAAAAGTCTCATCTGGACAACTATTGGCAGTACATTTGGAAGGCAGCCTAGGAATGGGTCAGACTAAACAATTCTGACTTGTTCCCATTGCTAAACATTAAACTTATGCATATCAGTTAATACAAAAACCTTCCTTCTCTTCCCCTGTCTGCCATCCCTGATCCCTTTAGTCTACTCTCCTTCCCTTCTCCATAATGCTTGTGTCTTCTAACATCCCCAATCATTAACTTATTAATTGTGCACTGATCTCTCCCCCCCCCACTCTAAACACTGCTCACTGTATGTATCAACTACTTGGTAGAGAGTAAGCACTCAACAGGTGTTTGCTGAAGAAGTGAATGAATGAAGTCATGGCAGTGTACCAGATCCATCTAAATGTCCAAACAAGCTTTTTTTTTTTAATGTTTTATTTATTTCCAGGAGAGAGAGAGAGACAGCATGAGCAGGGGAGGGTCAGAGAGAGAGGGAGACACAGACTGTGAAACAGGCTCCAGGCTCTGAGCTGGCAGTCAGCACAGAGCCCGATGCGGGTCTCGAACCCACGAACCGCGAGATCATGACCCAGGCAAAACTCGGATGCTCAACGGACTAAGCCACCCAGGCTCCCCAAAATGTCCAAACAAGCTTTTAAGTATTTGGGAAGGGCAGTGTGAAAGGTAAAAGCAAATCATCAGTTTTTCACATTCGGATGGCTGGACAGGTTGTCAGGAAAATACACAGAATTTTATTTGTTTGTTTGTTCCTACTTCATCTTTTGTAACAGAAAGTTACAAAGTAAAAGTGGGGATTTTAAGAACCTAACGATAGAAAGCAGATCTAACAGAGTGGTATCTTCCACAGTAGTATTAACTCGGGGCGCCTGGGTGGCTCAGTCGTTTAAGCGACTGGCTTCAGCTCAGGTCATGATCTCACGACTCGTGGGTTTGAGCCCCGCGTCGGGCTCTGTGCTGACAGCTCAGAGCCTGGGGCCTGTTTCAGATTCTGTGTCTCCCTCTCTCTCTGCCCCTCCCCTGCTCACGCTGTCTCTCTCTCTCTCTTAGAAATAATTAAAAAAAAAAAAAAAAGTAGTGTTAACTCAGATGCCCCAGGTGCCAAGAGTGTGTGACTCTGAGGATGAGTCACTTTAAGACTTCATTCCTAAGTTACAGGACTCAAGATCCTCTGCCCCTCAAAGACAGAAACTCAGTCCTTCTGTGGTCTTGGGTCTCAGTTCAGGCTTCTAAGAAAGATGAGCTCGTGTGAAATGCACACCATTTCCTGCTTCTCTTCTCGGCTTGGTTGTACTTCTTGCTCAGCCTGGCCCTCTTGGTGGCTGAGAGCTGGGCTTTCATGCCACCTGGCTGCCAATGTCAGCTGGAGCTTGGTTTTTCATGCTTCTCATTCTTGAAAGCTGGCTTTTATCCTCACATTTTTGCCTTCTCATTATAAAATGTCATTGCACCTTTAAGTATTATGTAAAGCGTGTCTCTCAAGCAGCTTTGTATTATTTATTATTCCAAAAGAAAAATCCTCCCCACCATCATCATCACCATCATCATCATCACCACTTTCACCATCATAATCACCATGATCATCATCATTACCACCACCACCACCATCACCACCACCACCATCATCATCATCATCATCATTTTGGATCTAGCTTGACTTCTGTAACCGTAGATTTCTATCCAAACTCAATTACTTTATCTTCCCAACACAGCAAGAACATTATTTAGTTTCTTTTGGGAGAGAAGTTTTTAACTTTATTAATATCTCTCTTCTTTTAAGTTTATTTATTTATTTTGAAGAGGCAGACAGTATGAGTTGGAGAAGGGCAGAGAGAGACAGAGAGAGGGTCCCAAACAGGCTCCAATCTTAGCACAGAGCCCGACCCGGGGCTCAATCTCATGGCCAGGAGATCACAACCTGAGATGATATCAAGAGTTGGACTCTTATCCAACTGAGCCACCTAGGTGCCCAGTGGTTTTTTTAACTTTAAACAAAATTACAAATTAATCAAGAATTTGAAAACTTAAAAGAATGTGACACAGAAAAAGTATTGCTTATGATAGTTTATAACTCAAATAAGTTATTGGAATTTACCAAGATTCCCTCTTAAAAAAATCATACTTAAAGACAGTCTTAAACTTTAATCATGAAAATCAATATATAGAATTAGAGAAAATCATAGAAAAACATGAAGCTGGCTGTATTACAAAACTCCAAAGCTGACAAGAGACACTTCTGATATAATTCCTCTCTTCTGCCTACCATCTAAGGGCTCCTTCTTTAAGTCCAAACTCTAGGGGAGGAAAGCTAATTTTTAGGTGCAGTGTCTCAAATTAAAATAGTAGGTATTTTCTAGGAATTAAAAAATTTCTGTTTTCCTAGAGGGGACAGATATGATGTGTGGTCATATTGAGAACATTTATAAAACTTTAGATGGATTTTTGGAAGGTAGCCTCACTGAGAAATATTGGAAAGGGATTCAGACTGCCAAAATGATTCTCTGAGATTCTAGAAATCAATAAATTGAGATACAGAAAAGTGAACATAAATTTGGAACCCAAATTTTGACATACATCTCCTTGGAGACAGAACTGGGTAAAATACACAACTGGTTTTCCTTGTTATGTTTTCATAGTTTAATACAACCCTGAATTATTTTTTTGTAGGCTTTCTTGGACCATTGCTACTTGTATTTATATGTGTATGTGTTTTGTTTTGCTTTTTAAAGTCATGGTTTCATGTCCTTTTATTGAGAAGTCAAGAGAACTGAGTTTTTTTCCTTAACTTTTCATTTTGAAATCATTTTAAAATTACAGAAAAGGTGTAAACCAGTACAAAGATCTCTGGTATACCCTTCAGTCAAGTTCCCAGATATTTACATTTTAGTGTGTTTACTTTGTCATCCTTTCTCTCTCTCTTACACACGCACTATACATATATGTGCACATTACTGTATATTTTTCTGTAGCATTTGAGATTAAGTTTCAGACGTTACCCCATTACCCTTTAATACTTCAATGTAGGGCGCCTGGGAGGCTCAGTTGTTGGGTGTCTGACTTCAGCTCAGGTCATGATCTCACGGTTCATGCATTTGGGCCCCACACTGGGCTCTGTGCTGACAGCTCAGAGCCTGGAGCCTGCTTCATGATTCTGTGTGTGTGTTTCTCTCTCTGTTCCTCCCCTTCCCCCCACCAAATGAATAAACATTAAAAAACTACTTCAACGTATGTTTTCTAAAAGTGAGGATACTCTCATATCATCACAGTCCAACTTTTAAAATCAGGAAATTGAAATTGATAAAATATTACCATCTAATCCGCAGGCCCATTCAAATTTTGCCAACTCTCTTAAGTTCCTTTATAAACTACAAAGCCTGATCTAAGATCACATGTTGTATTTAGTTATATTTCTTTCTTTCTTTCTTTGTTTTTATTTATTTCTAGGAGAGAGAGACAGTGTGAGCAGGGGAGGGTCAGAGAGAGAGGGAGATACAGACTCTGAAATAGGCTCCAGGCTCTGAGCTGGCAGTCAGCACAGAGCCCGGTGCGGGGCTCAAACCCACGAACCGCGAGATCATGACCTAAGCGAAAGTCGGACGCTTAACGGACTAAGCCACTCAGGCGCCCTTATATTTCTTCTGTTATCTGTAACAGCTCTTTAGTCTTAACTTATCTTTCATGACCTTGAAAAGCTTGAAGAGCACAAGCCAAGTTTTGTAGAAGATCCCACAATCACAGTTTATCTTATGTTTTCTTGTGATTTACACCTTTTGGGCAGAGGCAGCATAGACGTGAAGTGTTTTCTCAGTGCATCATTTCTGCAGGTACATGATTCCCATGCCCCACTCTTAGTGCTATGAACTCTTACCATTTGCCTTAGATGATTTCTTCCAGATTTCTCCGTGGAAACACTTAAGATGTGTCTTGTACCTATTAATTGATAAGTAATTAAGTAATTCATGGAGAAAAGTTTGA